CCCCCCCCCCCCCCCCTCGGTGGTGAAATTGCTGTGAATAGGCCGGTTTCCACTTCTTGTTGGTGTCAGTGGAGCCGATGGTCCGAGTCCACGTTTTTGTCGTTCTGTACCTTGGATTTCCATAGCTGTTCTGAGGAAAAACGACTCTGTGTTTCAAGAATAATTTTCTTAAGGGCAGCCAACAGGTTGAATTGTGCTTTGTCTTTGGGGGCGTCCCAGAGAGCTTGGGAGACCAGCAGCTCCTTCTCTGTAGGTCCTCAAACCTCAGCCGTGCTCTCCTAGGGGGCACGGTGCAGAGAAAGCAGAAAACATGGAGAGCGTCCCAGACTTTTTTGGCAGCTGAGGTTGGTGGTAGGATGATTGCAAGCAGTGTTCCGTGTGTGCACGCATGTGTGTGCCTGTGAGCATGTCCCCTGTTTGAATGGTTGCTTCGTACTCCTCGTGCATACTAGGCATGGTAGAATGATGACCTCGTCTTTTTTTTTTTTTTTTTAATTTTTTTTTTTCAACGTTTATTTATTTTTGGGACAGAGAGAGACAGAGCATGAACGGGGGAGGGGCAGAGAGAGAGGGAGACACAGAATCGGAAACAGGCTCCAGGCTCTGAGCCATCAGCCCAGAGCCCGACGCGGGGCTCGAACTCCCGGACCGCGAGATCGTGACCTGGCTGAAGTCGGACGCTTAACCGACTGCGCCACCCAGGCGCCCCGATGACCTCGTCTTAAGCTGTGCACCGCACGCTGTCTTGGGGTTCTGCCCTGGGGGCAGATGAAAATAGGTTAGTAGGGGAGTAGGTTTTCACAGCCCTGCAAGGTGCATGCTTGTTTTTTGGTGTTTTGTTTTGGTGAGTTATCTAACCTTTTGAGATTTCTCTTGTAAAAACTGAACTCCATCGGTCCAGTGTTAATTGTCAGAGAAATTTGTCTGGCGGTAGGGCTTTGAAGCTGCCCCGTACAGAGCCCTTGTTAGGACACAGGCAAGGAAAGTGATGAGACAAGGATCAGAGCAGGTTCCTGTGCCCAGATTGGCGGGAGGGCTAACTGCTGCCCCTGTGCCGCCACCTCCCCCTTTTCATGCTTTGCAGCGGGGGACCTTGGGTACTGACCTACCTCCGAGACCCCTGCTCTTGTCATCCGTGAGTTGACCAAAATGTCCTTGTGGGGCTTTGTGAGTGCTCTGTGTGGTGGTGACTTCTCCAAGGTGACAAGGCTGTCTGCAATGCGGTAGCAGAATTGGAATTACAACTCCATCCGCGGAGCTTTTGAATCCAGTACTTTGGAAGGCAAGAGGGATGAAAAGGACACCGTATCTTTTTAACGGCGGTATTGAAAACACATCTTAATTTTCACTGGATCACTTTTCAGAGATGTTTCTGGGTTATCGGTCTCACCGGAGTTACTGGGGAAAATTCCACGTTCAAGTAATATTTTGTGTTCACAGATAGAATAGGCTTTCCGTACTGTTATCTAATTGGAGAACGGATTGACGTCACTTCGCCAAACCCTTGGCGTGCTAGAACGCTGAACCAGCACCTCCTTCTTTGCCCCGCCCTCCCCTTGTGAGGTGGGTGGGGTCTGGCGTCTGTTAACTGCACACAGACAGCGGCAGCTCCCAAGCGGCTGAGCTATGCTACCCTGTTTCTGTGGGTCTAGTGCAGTAGTAATAACCCAAGCAGGCACAAGATTGTAAGGAGACATCACATTTTATGTCCTAAAATCCATGTTTGCCATCAACATTTATTATGTCTGCAGTTCTAAAGTAACCAGGAATGAATATTTTTTTCTCTTTCCTTTTTTTTTTAACCATTTATTTATCCATCCATCCATCCATCCATCCTAGTAGGAGTGAACATGAGTCTTGAACGGCCTCGCGGATTGTCTGTGTAGGAACTGAAGCCCTCCTTGTGGCGTGTTGGTTTTATAGCTGGGCGTAGGAGAGGCGGTGCTCCGATTTTTGCTGATTGTGAGAACCTTCTATCTGCTTCCTGCTGTAGATAATGCCACTTCTTCTGGCTGTTATAAATGAACAAAAGCATGGGGAAGGGCTGGCGGAGGCTGAGGCCTCGGCCACTCTTTGAGGGCCCTTGGCCCGCTGGGGCTGAAATTAGGGACATTTAAATAATAACATGCTGCACAAATGAGTACAGATAATTACACAGTAAGAGAGGGGAGCTATTAGCTGTATTTGAGTTTCATTTGCTTCCTATAAATGTCATCTGAGATCCAGCAAAAGCCCTCTGGCCAGCCAAAGAACCTTGAGTAGATTTAAGGGAACCTGGATCCTTTTTCTTAGAACCTGACTGCGGTCGTGATGGGTAATCCGTACGTTGAGCCGTTACTGTTCTAGCACTTGCTCTGTATTTCATGAATTTAGTCTTCAGAACAGACCGTTCTTGTAGATGAGGAGGTGATACACGAGGGTGGATTAGCCGTCCATCTACGCGAGTGGTCCTCGGCAGCCAGACTTTTAAAGCTTGGCTTTCTGTGTCTTGACTTCAGACCACCCCTTGGATAAAACAGAAGTCACTTTGGAACCCTCTGTAAAGATAGGATTCCAGAAACTAAGAATTTGTAGGAGACCTTTTAAAAAACTTTTCCTGGGGCGCCTGGGTGGCGCAGTCGGTTAAGCGTCCGACTTCAGCCAGGTCACGATCTCGCGGTCCGGGAGTTCGAGCCCCGCGTCAGGCTCTGGGCTGATGGCTCGGAGCTTGGAGCCTGTTTCCGATGCTGTATCTCCCTCTCTCTCTGCCCCTCCCCCGTTCATGCTCTGTTTCTCTCTGTCCCAAAAATAAAAAACGTTGAAAAAAAAAATTAAAAAAAACAAAACAAAAAAAACTT